GGGTGAACGCCGCTGCAGTGGGGTTGATTTTCACGGCTGTCTATCGGCTGTGGCAAATCGGCTGGATTGAAGACGGATTTCAGCAGGGGACAAGTCTAGCGAATGATCCTTGGTGGGTTGTGGTTACAGCCTCCAGCTATGTTGGTGGGTGCTGGTTCGGGGTTAGTCCTCCTGTGGCTATTATCTTTGGAGCGGCGCTGGGCTTGATCAGATACGGAGTTGTGTCTACCTAAGCGCGCACACATAGCTGGGGACGAATCTGTCAGAAGGGGCTCTGGATACTGTGCCGTGCAATGGGTTACTTTCAGTCGAGCGAGAATCATGTCAACTTTGCATCATCTCATTATTGCTCTATGACGGCTTGGAGGAAGCAGCATTTTGTCCTTCCCCGCGTGTATGGGGTATTGCATCTGCCGTGTTCATCTGAGCGTGGCTGCTTAATGGCAAATCAGCCCTTAGTCTATTCTTCCGATGAGCGTGATTGCAATAAAGTATCTAACAGAGGACTCCTTTCCGTTGAGTAAGTTCTGTCGCTAATGCTTTGATATGGGGCTATCCTCAACTATGTTGAAAGCAGTATTGCTAATCAGTTATGGCTCCATGACTTCTCATTCAAAGCGTTTGCAAGTGATAGCATTGGGAAGCTTGTCTTCGTAGTATAGCCAGATTCGCCAAATGAATATGTTCATGATACCGCTTTCTATCATAAATAAAAATGAATGTCGATGCCACAGCTCGTATTTATCGTTTAATGAGGAATAGGGATTGGTTAGAAGTAAAACGCGAACTCTGCTAGCCAGCTGTCCATTATCTCGGCATGTATCCGCATCTCTATCATCTTAAAGCTTATCAGATCGGCAGACCAACCATACCTCACAACCGCTCATTGCATACCGCCGTTCTGGTTCTAGTACCTTGACATCTAGCAAGTGCCTGTTTTCGCCGTCGCTCGTATTCTTACACCTTAGGATTGCGAAGGCGCCAACTTCCTCACCACACATTGTGAGGGGCTTCCCGCCCCTTCGTAGTCAATCTTTCTGCTGGGTCTTCACTAAACCACCATTTTCGCGGCTCGATTGCCCTCGAAGGTATTCGCTCAACACGCGGTCCTCAATGTCCATATCCTTCCAGGCAGCCCCGACCTTCCGGGCCGAGATGCGGCGGAAGAATACCCTCTTGCCCAACTTCCACGCCTCGACACCTAATAAGAAAAGGAAGGCAGCAGTGAATGTGATAGCCCACTCCCATGAGATTCCAGTGTGGTTGGAAACAGAGTGGTTGAGGCCGGGGATGTAGAGCGCTGGAAACAATGTAACGAAGCCAAACATAACAGCTCAGAACAGGAACTTGTTACGCCACACACCGTGCATCCATTGTGTCAAGTATTTCTTGGATCCGGGTTGCATACGAAAGGAAAGAACGGTGCAGACCAATCATTTCCGAAGCGAGAAACAAGGCAAACCATGTAAGACAGGCAAAGGTAGTAGCACGGGCGCGGAAGACAACCTCGCACTCGTCCGAATATCTCTGATTACAGCCGCTTCCGAGGCTGCTGTTCCCGTCGCCGAAGCCCCATATAACCGGCGTGAAACTCGATAGGCACAAAGCCGCAATCCATAGACCATAAACGACTATATCAACAAGAAATACCATCGTGAAGATGCCTGTCTTGAGTGACTGTGGTGGCCGCTTCGTAATGTCTGGCACGGCACGTTCGAAGCCCAGCCCCCAATGTCCGGCATGCCACTGGTGACCATGATGATCCAGACGGTCTCAACGGGTGCGAGGTGAAACACGGACAAGTTGTTGTCGTCCCTGAAAACCAACCCGATAAGTAGCGATCCAGCATAGACTCGGTAGAGGGCCTCCTTTTTTTCACCTAGGTAGCTCAAAACTATTCTCTACTATAGCCTGCGCGAAAAGTTGACATTTTCAGATGCCGATTCTATAATACTGTCTACATATCTAAACTAGGTTTGATCGCTCCCCTAAGTTATTCTAAGCTGTCCTAGGCAGTGTCTGAGTAGTGACCGAGTAACGACTGAGTAAAGCGGCGATGGCTTGGATGAGCGGCTAGGCTGGTGAGGACAACTTTCGGGACATACAACAGCCAAGGTACGTTGATAAACCAGTTGGATATTCCTAGGGACACATTCAACGGGATTCCTCACGCATTGGATGTTCGGGCACGCGTGGGTATGATTGACCAATCAATTCCTATAGAGTGGAGAGTTTCTTGATATCCGTCCATTCGTATCGCCATGTCGCCACGCGGTATTTGAGAATTTTGACAATAAAGGAGTGGCGAGAATGACTGGGGCTTCGCTCGTTCAAGATCCGCCATACCATGTTCATGTTCTCCTCCACTCCAGTCTCAAATCAGTTCCGTCCGTCTTACTTTTGCCTGTCTCGAAGACACAGGCCGCACAATAGACGCCAGTGACAAAGCAGGAAAAACATGGGGTGGGAAAGGAGTTCAGTGAAGGGAAAGGAGAGGAGAAGACACCGCCGTTTTCAACCATGTCTTGCTGAAAGATGTTTGTGGCGAGCGGTAGAACAACTTGACGAGTTGAACTGCGAGGGCTTTGGCAACCAATCAGTCAAAATGTCAGCCTTTATCTGTCCGTCTATGCCCTCAAACGCACAAAGGGACATACCTGTTTATACACTGTAATCGTCATACATTCGGTGGACCGTCTCCCTGGTACACGTCTAAGCCAGACTAGGAACGCCGATCCTTGGGAGCGAAATGGTTGCGGTCAGCAGGGGCCTCTGAACTCGGAGTCGAAGAAGCCGCAGCCGAAGTCGAAGCCGAGGCCGAAGCCGCATGGCGGGCCAGCAAGGCGTCGCGTCCGCCGGTGAACCAGACGACGCCGCCAGCCAGAAGCACGCCGCCGAGGGCCCAGAAGGGCATCATGGCCCGCGCGGCGATGTTCCGGGAGGCGCCGACGGCAACGTCCTTAAGCAGCGCCTCGGCGTCCCGGGTCGACGGCGTCCTAATGGCAAGTGACGACGGGGTCATGACCACCACGGTGTCACTGGGCGAGCATGAGGCCAAGAAGTCGCTCTAGAACTCTGGCGGCGGCTGCTGCGCGGTGGAGGCTGTGGTGCCAGTGGGAATGTCAGCAGGCGGTCGACTGCTGAGCGCAGGTACACGTGGACGTGGGAGGGGAGGGGAGGGACAGGAAGGAAAGTGCGCGCGTCGCATCTTGTTCGCGTTCGGATCGGAGAGAAGAGAAGAGGAGGCGGGCGGCGGGCGACTACTTACGCTTGAGGGTGTTCAGAGTCTTGTCCAGCATGGTCCTGAAGATGCTTGGCTCGCCGCGGGCGTCGAGGTAGATGATGCAAGGGCGAGGAGAAGGTGGAACTCTCGGCTGCGCAGCAAGTTGGCCAGGAACAGCGATGGGTTTGGAAGAGGCGCTGGAGCTGGAGCTGGAGCTGGAGCTGGAGTGGGAACTGAACCGCAAGGGGATGAGGGTCGGAGTAACGTGACGCGATGGGGCGGCCAACAGAGTTACAGGCAGAGTCAGAGTCGAAGATGGAGACAGATTTGAGTGTGGGTGCAGATACGAAAGCTGTGCCGGTCGTGGTGCTGGTGCTGGTGTCAAAGTGACCCGAGTCAAGGTGGTTGTGAGGCATCGGCCTCGAAAAAGAGGTGCTTTGATGAAGGCCATTGTCATTTAAGGGTGCAGCACGGTGCGGCGAAAAAAAACTCTTGCTCTCTTTTCCTTCACGCGACGGCGACGACGATGGCGACGACGACGACACGATGTTGGAGGCACAGGCAGAGTGCAAGAAGTCGAGGAGTGTGAGTGAGCAGGTGCGGGCAGGCAGACGTGTCGAGGTGTCTGGCCGGAAGAAAAGAGGAAAAGAGGAAAAGCGGAAAGAAAGTAAGAGAGAAGAAAGACGAGGAGGTGAGTGAGAGGCAGATGGCCTTCAAAAAGCGAAAAGCACAAAGAAACAGGTTCACAGCTCTCTCTGCAGTCTCTCTGGAGGCAGGTATATGTATACATTCACATGACAGGTGGCGTGACAAGTGGCGCACAGATCAGGATCACAGAGTACAGATTAGAGAGGCCCATGCGTCCCAATGCTAGTCTAAGACTCCCTCAACGCCCTCAGAGACCACCTTGACATCTTCGCTGATACACAAGGCTATCATGTAGTTGTCTAACGGTCAAAGGAAGCTGACGGAAATGAGGGTATTCGCAAAATTTGGTATACCTGCTATAAGGGTGGAAAGCACCGCCTACAGGATACCAGATACCGGCCTGCGCAAACGGGGCCGTCAAATTTGAGGACAGGCACAGGCAATCAAAAGTGATACGCGAGTACACGAGGGACAAGCGGACAACGCCAGGTATGGCCAGAGCAGTTTCAGGTGAATACTTCTGTGTTTGTAGAGACAGGAGACTATACTGGGACCAGTAGAAGGTAAATTGATTGAGTGCTGATATGATACCATCACTATAGCCCATTGAATGTGCGCGCCCTGTCAGCGTGTCGGAGCATGGCATGGCCGGAGAGTATTGTTTTGGTAGACCGTAAAAACTTGATGTTGCCGCGAGCTTGCTCGACTCGTAGCATTCAATATTATCTTTATTCGTCTGACCTGGAATACAAGACTGGCTGCGACGAAGACAGCTCCTCTGCTGTCCGGTCATCGCTCCGTCGCACTATGAAAGGCCTGAGTCCTCCGGGGCCGTTGTGGCAAGGCTAATCCCCTTAATCTTCTCTGTGGCTTTCTCGACTTTATTTTATCTCTGAGTGTGGGTCTATGGCTCGTGGCCTGAGTGTGCTTGAGAGTCACACTCGAATCTGCACCTGATGAACTCGGCATTGTTTTGGTCACGCGGGTGCGTTTGCGAAGTTGGTACGGCATCACGCAATGGTGCCACCGTGGCTACAAAAACTCAATTCTATAGGTGTTGGTAAGGAAAGAGAGGGCCCTGAAAATTTTGAATTTGCTGCCTAGAGTTTTGAGTACGTGGTGCCATAATTTAAGATCGATCATCAGGATCGTATCGTTCTGGGAAGTAGAATCGCTTGAACAGCTTCTTGCCCTCCGTGAAAATCTCATCCATCTCGTCCTTCGTGAGCTCGAAAGTCAGGGCCTCTGCGTATTCCTGCAGGCGCTGCTGCTTGCGCGTGGTCGTTATGCCAACGATGTTCTGCTGCAGGAACCACCGAAGCATGACAGCAGAGTCGGACACATTATGGGCCTTGGCCATGCGCTCCAGAGGCCCTACAAGTGGCCCTTCTGGGCAACGGGCTAGTGGAGTAAGAACCTTGAACGCCTCTACCTGGATGCCTTGCTCCTGCATCCAAGGAATATAGGGGACGCCATCGTTCTCGCGCTGTATGTACGGGTGATATTCTAGCTGATTCACGACGGGAAGCTCCTTCGGGCTGCCCTTGAGAATCATCTCGAGTGTCTTTACGCACAAAGTAGCTGACGCCAATTGATTTGGCTTTGCCCGAAGCCTTGACCTCCTCCATTCCACGCCAGACATTCTGGTAATCTTCAGGGGTGTGAAGATTCTAAGGCTCATGAACAAGATATCTAGTGGAATATGAGTACTTGTGAAGCTGCGATTATGCCTTGGGGGTTTACAGGTCAACATAGTCGAGCTAAAGCTTTCTTCAAGCTCTCGTCGATGGCTTTGGGAACGTCTTTGATCCCATCCGCGACTTTGGTTGTGACGAAGAGCTCTTGACGAGGGACACCACTCTCCTTAATGGCCTTGCCGACCTCGGCTTCATTGTCGTACATCTCGGCACAGTCAAGGTGGCGGAACCCAGCTTCCAGAGCGTCCTTGGCCATTTGGACCAGATCTTTATCAAACTTGTCATGGTCCTCTGGCTCCTTGAACCATGCCGTGCCGGTACCGAAAGCAAGCTAAAGTAGGGTCAGCGGAGGCGACATTGACGTGTAAGTTTCAAGTCAGGCTGACCATGGGCACGTTATCCCCATCACGAAGACGCAGTAGAGGGGTCTCCATAGCCAGATTGCCCGCCATTATGACGTGCTGGGTGGGCGAAGAGAACGTTGAGGCGGAAGCGATGCCTTGCAGACGCCGAAGGGCTGGTGTGAAACTGTTGATGACCTTAGAAGGGGAGCGGCGAGGAGAACTGCGACGCGATCAACACAACGACTCCGGCGGACGCAGCGAGAAGGAGAGCTCGACGACGTACTGCAGCAGACATATGAGCAGGTATGCCAAAGATGGAGCCGAGCCACGTGCTGCTGCCGCGGCCGCGGCCTTTTGTAGTTCATTGTGAAGCAGGCGTGAGGCGTGTTGGGCGGGCTGCGCCTCCACGATCTCCATATGCGAATGATGGAGAAGGCAGTGCGAAGTCAAGACATTGATGTTGTTGGTGGGGGGGAGGGGATCCTGTATCCGGGTGAAAACGACGCGCCTATGCGCTACGATTTCACATGTTTCGCATTGCTAATGGTGGCTCAGCCAAGTAAGCTGCCAGTATTAGAGCCTCAAACCCTCTTACAAAGAACGGCCGCATCTCACCGAAAGTCGTATCTCATCAACATCTCATTGCCACAACAAGCGGGCAAAGCCCATTCAATTCTTGGTTGCGCGCCATGATGGCACAAGAACTTAATGTTGCGTTGCAGTCACTGGAATGAGGTGCGAATAGTATCGCGACGCAGAAAAGCACTTTTGACTGAACATTGTTCTTGTAGCCAATCCTTGACTTCGACTACAATTCTTCCAGATTGGTGCTCGACGCGTTGCCGGAATTGATTGCACGAGAGGGCAAAAAGAACATACGCGTCCGAAAGCTTGCCCAGGATAGCCTTGATCCTTACACAGATGTCCGGTCCGTTTCCCGCAAGGTGTGGGCTGGAAAGCGGAAAGACTTCCTGCCAAAGCCGGACGCAGGGGACGAAGATACCACGATCGACATCGATTTTGTCGTGCATCTTGGGATGGAACTGAGAGAGGAAACGTTCGGACTGGAGACGCAGGCTCGCCGTGACGTATACAATAAGCCTGGCAGCGATGGAAAATGCCTCGGGACCAATCCGTTCATTGGAAAAGGGCTGCCAGAAGTGCTGCAGACAAGCTTCAACGTGCATGCAGCATGGGAGAAGGTGCATAAACAATTTCCGGTGAGTGAGTCCAGTAGCTAATCAGCTCCGATATTCGCCCGCCGTGGCTCACTGCATGCGTAGGATACGCCCTGCTTCGTTTCTGATGATGCTGGGTCGTACTTCTGCGAGTTTAGGCTCTATTCCTCGCTGGCAGAGGCCTTGGAGCATCATGAAGACAAGAGAGGGAAAGTGCTTTTCCTTCACGTTCCGAAGAAGCGAGATCCAGAAGCCATTCAGTTTGCGGCTGATCTTGCTGTCGCGTACTTTAAAGCTGTAGCCGATGACAAAGTGCTTACCGATACAAAGGCGTAGATGGAAGATTGGGAGGCGTATGACGCATCGATATAGATAGGAGAATGCCTAGTTACCACCTTTCCCAAAGTGGACGAATTTGCGCAATTATTACCATAGCCCTCAACACTAAGCCAGATATCGCGAGATTTTACAACTTACAAAAGTGATAGATATAATAAACCTATTGTCACGTAGTAGCACTTCACCCCCTGCTCACCAATGTCTCATTACGAGCTTACCTAAGGTGACCAGGGTGCTCCCCTGCACCTATATAAAACATCCGCTCACCGCGTTCTCTCCTCCGTAGATACTTAGACCTAACACACTACTTTTTCCTACATTGCTCGCACTACCGCTCTGCTGCTCGCCACAAAGTGAAATTCAATACCTTTTTCCTGGCAAAAGTTAAGTCATTATAACTAAGTTTGGTTATGGTTTCCTTGCTACACCAATGGGAAGCAGCTTTTAGTATTACGTTCGCTGTACTATTAGCTAACTGCATCATCCGCAGTTATTATTCTCTTTCCATTTTCTTACGTACATGATCCAATAGCCATGCCGAAAATCTGCGAGCGCGATGTGGTCGTGGGCGGCGGACTGCTCGGAGCCTCCATAGTTCGTGCTCTCAAGATCGGGTCGCCAAACGACCATATTGTTTGGTTCACAGGTACGGAGAGGAAGACGGCTTCCACAGATCACAATAAGATCATACGCACTCTTTATCCAGACGAACTTTACGTCCGGCCCGCGCAAGATGGCATGAATAATTGGCAGGATCACGAATGCTTCCATCAAACCGGCTGGGTCGCGGGAGTGAGGAAAGGGGCCGAGAGCAAAAGGAAATCACCAAGCGACATCAAAATCTCTATAGAAGAGTACCAAAGCATGGTCGGTTCGGACGAAGCTCCCAGACTGTTCGAAATGGAGGAATTGTGGCATAGTCGCACCGTTGGATACGCAGATACAGCATACGCGCTCCAGCTTGTAAAGGATGAGGTCAAAGCCCTTGGTGTTGAAGTTGAAGAAGTAGACATACGAAGGATTCTAACGGATGATGACGGGAGTTGTGGAGGCGTTGAAGTCGACGCAGAAGTGCCATACGAGATGCTCGCCGACAAAGTTATCGTGTCCGTGGGTCCATGGATACCACAGCTTCTCGAAGCATCCAAAATACCGTTCCCCGATGGAATCCTTAGGATTATCGGACTGGTTGTGGGCATTTTTCGACTAACTGATACTGATATGAAGACATTGAACATGGACATGCCAATGTCTGTCGGGGATGAAGGTAAAGTTAAGGCTTTAGATCTTTTCTGTATTCGCTTACAGTCGCTAGGAGAGGTAATAGTATCGAAACGACACAACCTTTTGAAGTTGACGACACCACGCACGTTGGAGGGTGGAGAGCATACATAAACTTCACGATCATCCGATGGCACGCGATACCAGTGCAAACATTGCTGTTTTGCACAAGTGGTTTCCACAGTTCGGAAATAAAGATATAGAAAATTGGGTTTGTCCGTGAGTATCCTAATTTTGTTGGCGAAGTATATGACTGAAGACTCCAGTGATCTTCTCACCGTTGCTGGACGTTTCATTATAGACGAAGTTCCAGGCACCAAGAATCTGATTGCTGCTTCAGGTGGAAGTTTTCATTCAGCCAAGTTTCTCCCGAATTTTGGAAGTTTGGTTCAACGATATCTTGGGAAGGGGGAGCCAAATGCATTGTTTGATGAAGTCTTGAGAGGATGTAAGTGGGAAAAACCTCACGAAGTACAACACGTTCATCCTGGGGTCATTCCAAAACCTGCAAAGGATTGAGCATGTTTATTCTAACGTAATTTATGGGGGAGCTGAACACTCGGCGAAGTTGAATACCCATTTCCATCTTATCCTACTTCACCTCTTCGCTATCTATAATGCACGTATCGATACGCAATTTTCACGCATATATGCAAATAGTTCGAACGGTATAGAGGCCGCAAAAAGCGCATCTAGAAAGCGGAGAGCACGATAGCTCCCCAACCAAACGCCAGGTCTTACTAGAGGAAGAAGTCGGGAAAGCGTACGCTTGCGTGTTTTTCTCGTTTAATTAGATTTCAACATATCAGCTCAGCAATTCGTACTCCTTCGGCACCTCGCGACTCTCGATCCAAGCTCTTATGCCTGGAGCAAATAGCTCTGGAAACTGTAAGTCCCACCATTGCATCGCTTCCCTCACCACAAACCCCTTGCACTCCGGACTCACACTCCCGAGTATCTTCCCGGCGTCCCTCGCATCCATGACCTTATCTAGCTTTGCACCAGCGATGATCGCGATCCTGACGCCCTTGATCTCCGCGAGGCTCTCCCGCATGATCTTGACGAGCTCGGTGAAGCCGGCCGTCAGCAGCGCCACGGACTGGTTCTTCCGGCACTGCTCCCGCAGGCCGGGGTGCTTTCAACTTTCCTAGTGTTTCGTCTCAGATGTGAGCATCGCTGGCGTTTGGGTTGAGTTTAGGGTTTAGGTATGCCAGGGTAGTTCTTTTCCCCATCCTTCGATCATGAGGATCACGTCTTCCGGTTTTGCTGCTTCACTACTCGATGGAGACTGCCGAGCGTAGGGCTGTGCGATAAAGAAACCTTAGGTGGTCAGTCATGCAATCAGAGAACAGGGACAGCGGTATTAGTCTGTTAGAGAATGATTGCCACTTCGAATGGCCTCTACGCCCCTTTTCCCCTCGGCTGTGATTTCGCCAACAGTCGGTTGTGGCGATAGCCCAGACTCACGGTTCGGCAGATTTCTGTCAGCCTCGTTTTCCCGTTCATGGAACACCACCGTGATGATAGCAACTATCTAATGGCAAAGCTTTGTGTTCCGCTATTATCGCATTGTCATATGCTTGTTCCTCCGCAAGGCGTCTTGATGGACAGGTGCTATCGCGACCGATCCGTGAGCTAAGTCGAGTTAAACCCCTCCACCACCCAAAGCTCAAAATCAACAATACTCCGATAAAAACGGTTGCCGGTGTGCCGGCCAGCTGGCAAGAGTGGGCACATACCCCTCAGGGTATTGTGCACCGCGTCTCCAGAATCAGTTCCTGCGCCATTGCTAGACTTGCAATGCCAAGTTGGCGATGTGATGACATGATGCAAGCGGCATGATAATATTGACCCGGTCGATGAGGCCAGGCGTCGGGATCTTCTTTGAGGACGTCCTCGTATTCGTCGCCTTCCACGAGCTCGTTTCCATGGCTGCCGGCTGAATCAGACCCGGGTTTTCCAGCGCCATCTTCATGGCTGTCACTACCTCCAGTCGACACGGCAGAGTCTTCTGCAGCGCTGGCCATCGGGGCCTTAGATGTATCGGCCGGGTCTGCACATGGCAGACTGAGTGCGCCGGAAAAGAGGCTCGCTGGAGGGACCAGACACTGCAGGTCTGCGTATGCCCAATTCTCAGGCTCGTCCTCATCCTCGTCCCACTCGGCACATCGAGGCACAGTCACGGAGCTTGGCTCACTGTGCCAGAACGACATCAGCACGCTCGCTGTCGTCATACATGATCCAGACAGGTGCATCCCCGTCCCCGTCTTGATTATGATCATGATCTTCATTCTGGATGCTCGTCACGTCGACGGCGACCACTTAGCCCGTGTCAATCGCAGGTGTATTGGACTTGGCGTTCCTCATCGTCAAACGGCCAATAGGAACGATCAGCCCGGGAAGGCGTCGTACGTCGGGGCTGCCAGGGGCGTCCGCACGGTCGCAGAGACCTTTGTGGAGCAGTTTGGTGAGCGGCTTCGGACCGGGGAACAGATAGACGGCAGCTAGAAGGGTGCAATCGCTCTCCATGGAGAACTTGGTACACGAGATCGGCAGCATCGTCTGGACCGTCAAAGAGGTCGAACTCGCCCTTTGGGGTGGTAAGGAGGGAGAGGCTGTCGCAGCTTCTCGTCCATACGGGGCTTGCGGATCATGTCGATGAAGTCCTTGATCTCGAGACAGCAATCGGCGTGAGAATCGGGACCGCTCCGGCGAGCCTTGCCTTTGTGCAGAGCTTCGTCGTCGTCTCAGTTTCGGATCCCATTATTGCCGTCGGCGAAATGGGAGGGAGGTGCCCTGTTGAGAAGGCTTGTTTCGGGGAGTGGATCGACAGCAGCGGTCGACCATACCAGTGTGTGTTCTGAGGAGCAATTGTCAGTAACGGACGGCCAGGTGGAATGAGAAGATGGAGTACGGGGTAGGGTGGGGAGAACAAACGGGGCGAGCTCGAACCTAGCAGATCGTCTCCATTACCGGCATTCACAACCGCATCTTCACCGTCGTGATGCTTCTCTGGGCCATGACAGTGATGCCCAGCTTGCTGAGGTTGGGACTGAGGTCGGGGCTGAAGTTGGGGAGGTTGACATTCAACTTGGAGGGTGTCCTGCTCCTGGTGGGAAGATGGCTGCCGTTGCCCAAGGGAGAGGCGCGAGAGACGGGGAAAATCGGAGAAAGATGCCATCTCGAGCTGCAGGAGAGGGCGATGACGGCGAATCCCGTTACTTTCCGTCTTTGATTTCCGGTTTTTGGCGGTAATGGAAGAGACGAAGTGACCTGCAAGGGGACAACAGATAAACAACAACAAGACAGGACTGCGCACCCACCCACAGGTTGCAGACCAAAGTCCAGGAGTTTGCGGGCGATGTAGTGAACAGCTGGCTGGCTGTCAGAATGCTGGACGCTGGGAAGTCGAAGAATGAAGGCCCGCTGGCTGATGGAGGGGGAAGATGGGAGGGAGAGAGATGGAGATGGAGATGGAGATGTGAGTGAGAGAGTCTTCTTTGGAGGGGTTTGGGCTTTCGTCACTCACGCACTCTGTCAGAGCTGAGGAAGGGGACCCACGCTAACGACCAAAGCACTCGCGGCACGTACCTTCCTAATGCTTTTTCCAGGGTCCAGGGGTCCAGCGATCCGCTTGTTTAGTTATAGTTAGCGCCTGTTGACATTCCATTCTTGTCTTGTCATGTCGAGTTAGCGTGAAGTTAGCGTGCCTGCCCTGTTTGTCTCTCCATCGTCAACTAATTACCCCGCATCTCATCGCATCTCATCGCATCTCATCTCATCGCCATAAGGCTGACAGGGACAGTTACCAAAGCAGTGAAACGGATTGACGAAGTGCGCGGTTGGGCAACGGCGAGTGCTGGGACGGGACGGGGTAGGGTAAAGTTGGAGAACAAGAACTTGGAGGTGCAGTGAGGCCAGCAGTGACATTCAAGATTATGCTAAGCCGATGATCACAGATTCATCACTGACTGCGCCATTCTTGCAAAACTCGAGAACGCAACCCGACAATAGACACGCCAACCTGCTACCATGAATGATGCGGAAAGGGTCTTAACGATGCAATTACTTGGGGTGGTGAGGTGTGTTGTGTGTTGTGGTGGGTTGAGCAGTCTTCCATTCGCTCAGCGCCTTCAGAGACAAAAGACGAAGGACAAACGGGCCAGTGATGCTTTGAGCGTCTTGCTCGCTGCCTTAAGAAGATTAAGATTTAGAAAGAAGATTAACATATGATTTATATATTAAACTTAAACTTACTTAACCCCTCAACCTCAATCTTAGGCGTATACCTTACACACACGCTAGCGAATCAGGTCGTACCCTTTCACCCAAAACCCTTTCACCTGAACGGGGGTCACGGACCACCGTAGACGCCAGGTCATCTCGCCTGCGTGCCACCCGCCCCCAGGGTACCCTGCCGCGACATGTAGGGGTCTGCCCTTTGACCTAGAGAGCGCCACGTCATGATGGCTAGACTATCTAGCAGAGATTGGGGTAATCGTGCTCTTCCACAATGTTACTCGTTGGTCGCCACCGATCAAGTAAGTTAGTCATTCACTAGGATGGCTCAGACAACTGTATCTGTTCGCTTTCCCGTTCAGTCTTTTTAATGATTTTTCGTTTCGCGAAATGTAAGCCACAAGCGTTGCAGAGGCTATTGCTCCCTGCAGGGCCACGTCTTACCTGGGGTGTGGACGTCGTACCACATATCTCGCATTTCCCAAAGCGCTGACAGTCTTAGTCAATCTCATTCACCCCTTATAAAAGGTTGACTTACGAAATTTCCTGCCCTTCGCTTGTCGGAGCGATATGTAGGAGCTCCTTGAGATTGGACTTTAGATGGAACGTTACTACGGTTCATTTCTAAGGAGCCTCCACACTCCATGCTATCATCTCTGTCTCGGGCTAGTTGGAATAGCTCTTCCGAATGAGATAGACGCATGCTATTGTATGGCTGCGGCATATGCGACATGGTGCTGGCTCCGTGAGCGCGAGAGTTGGGGAAAGGCACCAAGCCAGCATGCGACTGGCCCGAACGATTGAGCACGGAGGATGGTGATAGGGTCAGTTGGAGATGAGCCGAAGGAACATCGAGTTTCTTCAAAGAGCTTGAGGAAACAATATTGTTTCTTGAAGAGAATTGTTGCACTGAAACTTCCTCTGGTCCTAGCAAAGAACCATGTGAATGCAACAATGGCAGCTGGGTCGGCGTGTGATACGTGTGTTTTTCCAAGGTGGATATCGGATTGCTTCTCTGTGGCGGGGTAAACCTTTCCATGAACGAATCATTGCTCGCAAACAGAGAAGGGTGTATTCGTGGTGCCGGAGAAATGTCTAGAAATTTCGTTAGTGACAAACTTCTTCGCGAGCGAATCCCTAAACAAACCTCTTGATGACCCAGACCCTCCATGTGAAGGTAGACTAGGTGATCCTGAATCTACTAATCCTCGAATATCTGAAATCCTATTGAGGATACCTGGAGCTCTACTCCGCTCGTTAAGATGATAATCCCGCTCGGTTTTCAAGTCTCGAATATTTTTCAAGTAGTCTTGCTCAATGGTCTCAAGTTTCTGGAACCCGTGTCCTGGACTTTTTCTAGTCTTCTGTTTCCTCGAGTTCATCCTATGAGATGCTCCGGACTTTGGTTGTCTCTGGGTGCCTGCCTTCATTGAGGTATGTTCGATATCAACTGGTATGTGAGTGTGTTGTCCCGGGTTCACGATCATGTTTCGTAACAATAGGTCCGAGGGCTGGATCGAAGTTCTCGGGGTGGTAAAGAAATGACCATCCTCTGAATAGCCGGTACTTCCAGACTCTCTGTCCCGTGACAAAACAGGGACGTTGGGGATTTTAGCTGGATATCGTGGTATTCTTGTTGCCAAGCCCACACCACTTTCATGTGTTGGCTGATGTGTTGGGTAAGATGCTGGATCAGGCTGGTCTTCCTCAATCAATACCTGTGAGAAGAATTGTGACACGGTATTGATAGAATGGCCATCTGGTCGTTGTGTTGACCCAGTGTCAGTGTATGGCTGAGTAAACGGAGGTTGTATACTTTGATGCGGAGTTTTAGGGAATGGCACGGCTTCTCGCTCGTCTAGCTTGAGCGTTGGCTGTTGCGGGCGTTGCGGTATACATGACCTCTGCGTTGGGCTTAGACTAACTCTTTGCCTTGGACTTGCGGCAATCGCCTTTGGCAGCAGGATGCGCCTCCTATCATCGGCTGTTGGCTGCTCGTTCTGCAATGCTGGCAAATGACCAGTTGGAACGGAGGATTCGAAAGTTGACTTGAGGTTCTCTGCAAGTAGTCCACGAGCTTGGTTCGATATGCTTGAAGGATGGATGGGCAAATCTTGTTGTCCATTCTGACGGCCATCTAAACCGGGGGGGAGGCTACTCGGCCCAGTCTTTGAGCGGCAGGGACAAGTGAGCGATACTGGATGCGCTGATGGTTCTGAGCCTATGTAGTGAGCACGAGGCATCTTCTCAGAAATTTTGGACTTACTCGCATCAACACATGAGATGGCAGGAACGAGGTCTTGATTCAAGTGGCTTGAGAAAGATGTCATCGTGAGGACCGCCGTGGCTAGAAAGAATGCGTCCAAAACCGTCTGTGGCCATTCGGCTTTCCGTGTGCTTTCAAGCTAGATCACCACAGAATAAATTTGCAATGACTCGGTGACTTAATAACGGTCATAAATGGACAGTGGGATCTCAATCCGTTCACTTTGGTATCTATACCGCGGCTTGTCGGCGTTGGCAAGTTCTAATGAGAGTCATTCTCGGTAGTTTCAGCCAGACTATGTCTACGCTATGTGATGACCGCTAACTCCACTAGGGTCTTGTCGGCTTGTGGAGTACGGAGTAACCAGCCATCTTCCAGCCTACGCAAGGGGTTACCATACTTAAAGAGCACTTGCGTAAAGGGCAAGTGCCAGAGGACAATATGACACGCGTCAAAACGTCTTCTAACAGGACCTGAGCCTGGCAATGAAGAGGCGGCGGAAGCGCTTCATATGAGGGTGCTAAAACGGCACTTCTAACGAGCTGAAGAGGGTGGCTCACAAATGGAAGGAAGCTAGCTTAGGCACGGTCAATTGCTAGGGCTAGGTGTTACAGTACCGGTACTGTAGTTGAACGAGAAACAGAAAATACAGTCTCCGTTACATACCGATTTCCATGTGCCGCAACCAGAGTCATCAACGCAGAAACCTGTATAGAATTGACAGCGGAACAAGAGAATCCTCTATTACAGGTACAACCCCACGGAAATGCACAGCTTAAACAAGTTGGGCACATCGTATTCTGCAAGGCACTAAAGCACTGAATCTCCATACTGCCGTATGTCTGCACTAAACCTCGAGTCACATGCTAGCTCTCAGAGCGTATGGCCTGCTGTTGTTTGATGCCCGACCTATCTAAGACTGTACCTGCTACCAGCACGTAATCACTCCATCATAACCAACATTAACGACACTAACTTTGCAATGCCTGACTTGAATTTCTTGGGAGACTAATGGCTCAATAATGTGAGCCTTGGCAGGTGGTTGTAATACGAG